GAACCAACTTCCAAGAGAAGTGGTGCTGGCTCCTACCTTGGGGGTCTTTAAAAGGAGGCTGGATGAACACCTTGCTGGGGTTGATTGACCCCAGTACTCTTTCCTGCCATGGCAGGGGGTTGGACTTGATGATCTGCTCAGGTCCCTTCTGACTCTACCAACTATGAAACTATATTGTTATACAACAATAATGGGCCTTTTGTTTCCTGGATTTCAGGATAGCGACACTGTGCAGTATCATGTAATACTTGGAGAGAAGCTCTTGTCTACAGACTTAAAAAGTGGAGTCCATAAGAGCACGATGTTGGGAATATCCTACTGGCTAATGTTTTATAACAACAGCACGCAGGTAAGGATGGGGAAATATTTCTTGCTGTTTTAAGATATAGTTTAACGGTCACAAGCTAAGGCTATAATAGGATTAATAGAAAACTGCTATGATTTGTCCTGGTACAAGTCGAGTTCAGAATGCTTGTGACCAAAAGACATTATTGCTTGACATTTGTGAGTGGCCTGCATGAATTGAGATGGTAGGTTTATCTTATGTCTCAATCATGTAGGAAACATTCATACCACAAGAAAACAACATAGAAATTGCAATCCATCTTTATTTCCTCAGCAGAGGCTAAGGGAACAACAAGCCAGGAAGTCTTACTTGTCTTGTCACCTCTAAAGATTGTTCCTCCTCATTGTTCTTTCTCATTTCCTGGCTGTGGAAAATTATAGAAATTTATTCTTAAATGCTGCAGTCCAGCACTTTTATATGCACTCATGACGTATGTTAAAGAAGCAACTCTGATATAAATGAACTCCAAAAATTACTTTACTTGTAATTTGTTAATAAATGGGTCTTTCTTGTTTTTGCATAGCATTGAGACATGCATCTGGAAGGCATGGAGAATGCTGTATTTATCCTCTTAACACCTTGTATCTATTTTAGCGATTCCCAAAGGATGTGCCATGAGAGTGGAGAAAGTGTGCCATAAAAAATTATATTTTCAGGTCCAATGCACAGAGCCATGACATAGCTCATGTGGCCCCCCCACAGGTCTTAAAATTTGGCAGTGGGGGAGTGGTGGCCCTTAACACTGCCTCTGCTACCCAGTCACCGAATTTCCAAGCTACATGCAGAGGGATCAGGCCCCAGCCATGCTGGCCCCAGTCATGCTGGTGTGAAGGGACTGGGCCCATGGACCAGATCCAGCCCCTGGGTTGACCCAGGACCTGTCATCCAGCCCATGGGACCAAAAGTTTGGACACCACCACATAAGTTGTACACTTCGCTCTCACACCTGAAAAGTTGGCATTGTTTGTATATTAAAGGGCCTAATCTGTCTGTCTGTGTCTGTGTGTCTGTCTGTCTGTCCATAATGCTCTTGGAGCATTCTGATTGGTTGTCTCAGCAGCCAATCACAATGCTCACTGAAACAACCAATCAGAGTGCTCTGCACAGACAGACCCACAGTCAGATGGCTGGATGCAGGGGGGGGGTGTTACAGGCCAGATGTAGGGGGGAGTGGCATATGGCTGGACATGGAGCAGCACCAGCATGGGGCAGTAGCAGCCACCTACTGCGTCACACTGGAGGGAGGGTGCGGGGCTGGATGTGGAGTGGGCAGGGGGAGGTGGCATGAGGCTGGATGTGGAGCAGCGGCAGCACAGGCTGGTGGATGGCAGTGGTGGATGTCGCATGCAAGCTTCCCCCCCGCTCCTGGAAGGCGGTGGCAGTGCAGGGTGGTGGCGCATGGCACTCCATTCCACCTGCCCCCCGTCATTCTTGATGAGCAATTCACTAATATATATTTGGTGTGTGTGCATGCATACACACACACACACACACACACACACACACAGAATGTATGCCTTTTCAGGTGTGACAATGGGAGAGATTTTATCTATCTTGTTGTTCTTAAGAGTCTTCTTTCTCTTTGCAGACATCTGTAAATAATATCCTCCTGAATGGTAAAATCTTTGAAACAATGAATGGCATGTTGATTGGGGTTGCCCATGTTCTCCAGATACAGAAAAATCATTGCACTGCCAATACCACAACTGTACAAAAGGTATTAAACTTTACAAAAAATAATTACAGCATTACAGATACACCTCAGCATTACAGTCACTTCATGGTGTAGAACAAATGAGTCCTGTGCCATCTAATATTATTTTAGCTCTGTGCAATTCAGATGTTTACTATGGGTCTGATAGTGACAGTTGCTGATCACCAGGGATCCAGGTTTTCCGTTTTCCATGGAAAAATGGAGAAGACCATAGATTCCCTGTTTTTATTGGAGGCAATGCAGATTCCCCCTTTCAGCAGAGAAATCTGTGGATTCTCCACTTTTGCAAAGAGCTCTTGCAGGCCAGCAGAGCTCCAGCATGCAAGAGCTGATTGCAGAAAGGGCGGGAAACCCCCAGCCCTAGCCAGAGGGGGAGGGAGAGGGGGGAAGGGCAGGATCTGAGCCTCTGAGTCAGCCAAGGCTAGGCTCAGGCTCAGGCTCACCCTTTGTCCTTCACCCCTGGAGCCCTGGAGATAAGTGGGCAGGGCTGGAGGCTGAGGGAGCAGGGGGTGCTGCCGGCTCTAAGTGGCACACCGCAGCATCTCCCTGCCCCCCACCTCAGCCTGCTCCCAGGAGCAGGGCCGGGGGGTGGGGGCAGGGGTGCCCCTCTGTGGGCCACACACATGCCAGCTGGCCTGATGGGGGGTTCGCATTTAGAAGCCACTGCACCCTGCACTGCCTTCCCGCAGCTGGCCGCACAGCTTTGCAGGCAAGTGGTGCGTGGTGTGGTGGTGGCCACCAGATGCGGGCCACACATGTGCCGCCCAGCCAGCTGGCCAGGAAAGGGGGTGGGGGGAGGCTTGCATGTGGTGGCTGTCACCACACTGCTGCTGCCACCCCATGGCTGGCTGCACAGCTCCTTGGCCACAGCTCAGCAGTGGTGGCAAGGGATGGTGGCTGTGGGGGGCAGGAGAGGCTCACACATGGTGGTTACCACTGCTGCCACTTGTCTGTGGAGCAATGCCCACTGTGGCAGCCGCTGTGTGCGAAACCTCCCCATGCCACTGCTGCCATCATGGAGCTGTGAGACCAGCTGTGGGGTGGCAGTGGTGGTATGGTGGTGGCCACAACGTTCAAGCCCCCCCCACCCCGTATGCAAGCACAGCTCCTTAGACAAGTGGCAGTGCTGGCACAGAACGGTGATGGTGGTGGCAAGCCAGCGGGGTGGCAGTGGGGGTTTGCACACAGTGGCTGCCACCACCTCACACTGCCACTGCCGCTTGTCTGCAGAGCCAGGACCATGGACAGGGAGTTCATGTGCAGTGGCCTCCTCTGCGTGGGCACAGCTCCACAGGAAGCAGCAGCGGTGGCAGCCAACATGTGCAAGCCCCCTTCCTGGCCAGCACACAGCCGCCACCACCTCACACTGCAGTGAAGCCATGCAGCCAGCTGCAGGACATAAGCAGTGGTGCAGTGGTGGCCGCCACATGTGAGCCCCCTTTCTCTCCCCCCCTGGCTGGGTGGCACATATGCAACCCACACTGCTTGTACGCAAAGCCTTACAACCAGCCACAGGATGGCAGGTGCAGGGTGCAACGACAGAGTTGCGGTGGCAGCCTCCGTGTGTGAGCTGCCCATCAGGCTGGCCGTCACGTGTGCAGCCCACAGAGGGGCACCCCTGCCCTCACCCCCCAGCTCTGCTCCAGGGAGTGGACACAGGGCACGTTCCTCTCCCTTCTTGATCTGCACCCCCCAGCTCCACTACTTGTGGGCTTCAGTATGGCTACCATTTTGTGACCATACATAC